TCGTTAAAGTGGCACATTTCCAACAGAATTGCAAATCGAGTGTAAATTCAAATAAGGCCTGCCATCTGACGTCTTTTATCGAGAGGATAGTTTTCAGTTTATTTCCTTATCTCGGCCCTGAAACAGGGAAAAGTAGAATTATCACACACATACAGTGAGTGTAAGTTAAGTCCGTAAGAAGATTTATTTGCATAAGCACACGCAGCCAAAGCAGCTTCCTGTGAAACAGCTTTTGATGAAAAGACCTTGTTGAGAGTATATAACGACTGTACCTCTGAATTTCAGAGACGTTTGTGTCTTTATTCCTCTAATTTATTACCAAAATATGAATTTTAATGTACTAATAAATATGTTTGGTATTAACCTAAATACCCACAGTCGTACCTGAGTCTTTTGAAATGATTAAACCCCCAAAATGTCTCTCTTTTCAAAGTCACAGAGGAATGTAAATGAATTATGCAACATAAAACATAAAGATGTTTTGCTTTATTAAATCCTTAAAATGTCACCTTTAAAATAGTCTTTGATGCTGCATCATTGATGAACACATCACATGGTCACAATCTCTTGGCAGCGAAGTTTGTCATCTAACATAATTTTCTCCCTTTTGCATCGATTATGTTCGCTGTGGTGAAGGAACAAGAGTGGAGACAAAGAGATTCAGAGCTGATAAAGAAGTAAATAATGTCGTTCTGTAAAGCTAAAACTCTGTTGTGTTGTTATAAATCTATTAAGATAAATCAGGTTTAAAGTTTCCAGGTTTAATAGACTGTTATAAGGTGAGCATTTCCGTTAAAAATAGCCTAAATTAATCACTTATGGATTCATTAATTTCCCTGTTTTGGTTGCATATTAATTTGTTTTGAGACTGTTTCCCTCTCAGTTGAATGCCATGGAACCGAAAATGTTTCTCACCACTGTGGTGTCTCTGCAGCTGCACAATATGAATTTTCATGAATGTGGCACCTTCGCTGGCCAAGAAACTTAATGTGCTTCGGATAACTGTGATGAATTTCACACAGACGCGTCATGATGATAAAGGTTGTCGATGCTGGAGAATGTGGTTTATTCAAACCATTGCAAAGCTTCGTGACTTGATGATAAATGTTCATGCTCTCGACTGTGAGTTGTTTTACAGGGTTATGTGTATCATGTTTTTATGAACAAGGTATCAGTTATGATGCATTTGTTTATGATGTGACGTGTATATGTAGATATGAATGTAATATATATCAAGGCCTTACCTGGTTGTTTACATGAGTCAGTGTCACACATGCTAACACTTATTTACTTTGTAAATAAGGCCTCAAAGCCTTCAGTGGCAAGTGACATACCTGATGGCTCATAGGTCTTGTAGTCAATGACACTCGGAAGCTCTGCAGCAGATTTTACCCCTTACTGTCATCATAGACTTTAATGAATGTGCATAAATGATAAACAAATAGCTCCTCTGTTGTCTTAAGGGGAAAACTATTGTAGCAATTTATGTTTTCTAAGAGTGTTTTTATCAACAAGCTCCTAAATAGACATTTCCGTCTGTATTGATTGGTTTTTCACTTGTAGTCACACATAATAACACGTAATAAATACATTTAACATGTAAAATGATCTCTTTTTTGCCAGAAAATTTGATAATTCTGGCATTTATATGTTTTATATGTATCATATCAACATTTGTAAAGTAATGCATGAGCTGACATTGTCATTGGAAGGTGGACGTGGAGGGGACGGTGGATAGCGTGACACCTAGTTGGGACGCCTGCCAAGCTGTAGACCATTGTTCCAGGCAAACAAACAAAAAATAAAAAAAAGAAAGAAAAAAGCATTTGTTTTTTCATGAGACATCCCTGCTTTTCCTGCAGTGACTTTGGCCCCCAAGCATGGTTTTCTAAGCCAGCGGTTTCCAGCTGGGGTCCTGATTTCCAGTTTAATACATTTCAATCAGGAGAAACAGAAGAATGAAGTAATGATGATATTTTATATAGAATATGAGTGTACAGATAAACAGACAATTTGTGCTGATCAAGATTTAACAGAAGTCTTTGGTGCTTGGTCACCAGAGGGAGATATTTTGTGATTGAGGGACATCTGAGTGGCAGCAGGATAAATGCCCCCCAGACACTGGTGGTAGTGGTGGCTGCTGACTCTCAGGCTGATGAGGCTGATGAATCCGTGAAGACTTGGTGGTGATGGGGAGGTGGAGGGTCTGCACAACTGCAGCAAGAGAGAACTAGGGCAGAGAAAGAACCATATCTAAAATGAGGAGCAGTAAGATGATAGGCTGACAGAGAAGGTGTGTCGCCGTGCTATTGGTTTATTGAGAATCAGCTGAAAACAGCTGATGACTCAGCAAACAGACCCAGACAATGACGTGTGCAAGGCGTGAACGGCTGGGTGAAAAAGAAACTTAGAGCCTGAGTTGTAGCGTCTTCCTGACTGAACTTTGGCTAGAGCTTCATTAAGCATCATACTTGCGTTTGGCCATGTTGTCGGGCTAGTTTGCTGTCTGTCAGGAAGTTGCCCATTTGTCACCAACTCTACAGCAGGAAGTGACACTTCAAAATAAAATGCAAATGTTTGCACCGTATATACAATGGGAACAGCTAAATATTTGAAAAGCCTTCTTGGAGCCTCCAGTCTCAGAATAATCTTATTTACGTGAGATAACAGAGAGGAAATAATATCAGAGATGATGTAAGGGGTTTCTGTGATCTGGTTTTACTGCTGCAGCTTAAATAAGTGGCGACTGTCACAGAGGAGCTTCTCTTACTACATGACTGCAAAATGTGGAAGAAATCAGAGGTAAATAAAAGAAAAACACTGTTTTTTTTTCTTTAAGGGTGTATCTTAATATAATACCTGATTTGTTCTTGTGCGATTGATACACAGCAGCATTTGCCACCAGGCAACATGTTTACATGCACACAAGAAACCAGGTTACTGGGAGAAATCAGATTAAAACAGGAAATTGTAGCCCACAGAGGAGTAAGTAAAGCTGGAAGAGATAAAAACAAATCACACACACACACACACACACACACACACACACACACACACACACACACACACACACACACAGGGAGGCGGGTTTTATACAGTCCAGCTCTGCAAACAGCCAATTATCTGAGGGTTTGTTTCTGTTCAGCCAATCCATGTCCAGCCAGCCTCCGCTGCCTTTTCTGGCTCCGGGAAGTAAAAAAAAAAAAAGGTGAGCTGTTGTAAAAGACATTTATTGAAATCTACTTCCCCCTTGTGGTTACTCTTAATATTGCAGCAGCAAATAGAAAGAGCATAACTTGCTGGATTGGATAGAAGGTACAACTAAAAGGGGAAACCTGAACTTCAAAACCTGCAACTCCCAAATTGATTAACACCGAGACTAAAGTTATTCATGTTCCCTGGTGCTGTTAAAGGTTTCTATACAAAATTAGGTATATACAGCTTTGAAACTGCACCAGATTTTAATTAATGTAAGTTGAAGAACACATAATGCCTTTTCTGAATCTACAAGAAATACTAATTTAACTTATTTAAGTGTTTAGTCCTGTAATTAATATAGTCAACAATGATTTATTTCATCGTCAGACATTTTATTGTCTCATACAGATACTGACTCTTAGCCTTAGAGCAACTTCTATTAATTGATTTTCTTCAGTGGTGGAGCAAGTGTTCAAGTTTTTTCCTGAAGTAAAAATTGTGATATGATACTCCATTACCAGTGGAAATCCTGCAATAAAAATGTCATCTCAGTAAAAGCTTCTCAGCAAAATGTGCATAAAGAATCATAAGTAAAAGTAGTGGTAAGTCAAAGCAGAAAAAGATGAGTGTTGTTACTGTTTAGTATATTATTATATTATAACTACTGATGCAACAATGTGGAAACAGCTTTTTAATTAAATGTTGTAGATGATCGATGTGGAGTTTTTTCTTTTACTGTTGTGTAGCTTAATCTATTACAGTTAATCATATCTTTAAAGGTGATCATGTGCTTCTGTGTAAAACCTTAATTTGTAAGAGAGCTTTAAATGTAGTGGAGTAAAAAATTTTGGCATGGCATGAAACGAATAAAGTATTCTACAAGTGAAATGGTAGCTTACTTATGTCTGCAGAGGTGTATATTTCTGGGGATGGCCAGCAGGGGACATATCCCCCTTTAAAGCCCTTTTTACACAGAGATTGCACTATAGGGCCGCTACCTTCTTTATGATTCCTTTGCATTTTTACACAGAACCAAACTCAGGCCACCATTCTTCTTCTTCGAGTTAGCCGCCAATTGCTAACAGCTGCTTTTTAAATCTCCTGCAGTGTGGTCATCAACATAATACTTAACTACTAATACTTAGACCTGCTGTTCTCATTCGTGGACACCTTTTTTATGCCATCTAGTGGTAGTAAGAGCACAATACACTAATCCATATAAAAACAAGATGGCAGCCATTTCTACCAAGTCATCCTACAGCTGATCCCGACATGAACTTTGATATGCCACCACCTTTTTACCAATTTTAGCAACAGTAACAAGCCAAGACACTGTTAATTAAAGAGTACTTGTTTGAAGGCATTGGGACTTTATATTGTCTCGTTTGAGGACACTGGGACTTTTTTTTTATCATTGACAATATTTAGTTTTTTATACTTATCAGGGCCTACTTATCCCAAATAGCGAGGAGAAATTGAAAATGCATACCGAACAAAAGTTCAGGTCTCAGGAGGTTAATCAAAACCTGACAACCCCTGTGTGAAATGTGTAACAACACGCATGGAATATCAGAGTGACACCAAAGCGTTTTTCATTCACCTGCTGACTGTGGCGGGCTCCTGCCACAGACAGACGCGTGTGCGAGACCACGTGAGGGAGACCTCGTTAAATTTCATGCTGCTGCTGCTGCTGCTGCTGTTGTTGTTGTTATGGGTGATTTGTTTACCCCGCCCACCTGTGTGTCCTATAATAAGAGCTCCCAGCCGGCAGCAGCAGCCTCCTCCTCCTCCTCCGCCTCACATGGATCCCAGCGGCTCCTCTTTGCTGTCTCGCTGAACATGGATGCCAACATTGTTGTTATGGGGACAGAAAGCGTCGGGAAATCAGGTAAAAACTACACTCTGTTGCAGAAAAATACGTATATATGTGTTTCTGCTGCGCATGCGTTAAAATGTTATTTCTGTTTTTTCCAGCTCTGACTGTGCGCCTCTTAACTCGACGCTTCATCGGAGAGTATGGAGATATTGGTAAGTTTCCAATCCGTCGTTTCAGTGCAGCCTTTTAACTTCATCTAACTTTACATTGACTTAACCTATTGTGTTGCAGAATCCATCTACAGTCACAGTTTTATGGTCGATGGGAGGGAAATCACTCTCAACATCTGGGACTCACCTTATTCTGGGGTAAGAAGAGATTTTAATAGCTATCTGACAGGTGCCATCAGTGATTTCTGATCTTAATAATGGCGTTTTATTCTGCTCAGATATGTGCCAGTGGGTAATATATGGATTTGTCAATATTATGATATGAGACTATATATCAGAATGTGGATATCATAATATCATGTGTTGTCTTTTCCTTGTTTTTAAGGCTGTATTACAGTAAAATGATGTAGTTTTTTGAACTTAGCAGACTGCTTTAGCTGTTCAATTAGGCCTATTTGCCTTTATCCACTTAGTCATTAAATTTTAATTGTGTGAATACGTTGTGAAAGTACAAATGGTCAATCTTAAAATACTGTTGAAGTATCAAGAGGTCAAAAATATCATGATATTGGATTTTCTGCATATCGCCAGCCCTATTCTCAAATCTTCAAAATCAAGTAAAAGTAAAGACACTCCAGTTCAAGAAAAGGATCTTGTTTCAAAATGTTACTTCAGTATAAGTTCATCAAGATGTGGCTCATTCAAATATAAAACCTAAAAGTCCCCTTGAATGAATGAAGGTTTTATTTCGAACATGTTAAAGTAAAAAACAACAACAACAACAAAGCAATTAAAGCAGTTAAACAATCAAAAAGAATATATACTTGACATGTTCGAAAAGGGGTAGGAAGAAGCAAAGCTTATTAAATCCTACCCCTTCTCCACTCAACAATTCATAGTTATTCCCTGTGTGCGTTTTTTATTTTTTCATTTTATTTACATACTCTCAGGTGTGAATAAACATTCCATGAATATGGCATGTATCAGTAATACAAGATAAATAGTTAAATAAACAAGTAACTATTAACAAAATGTGGGAACACCTAGTGTTCATCACATCCTTCTTCCCTATACCTTGTGAGCACCATGTGTTTGTAGCTACCGCTGTATAAACCCTTCATACTGTTATATTATCGTCTATATCATAATATTGTTTTAGTACTGACACTTCAGTGTTTAAGTGTCACATTAATGTGGGATGCAACTTTAACAGTACTTTTGGGTACTTTGTAGAGGTTGTGAAAAAATCAATACAGCCTAGTAAAGCGATATTTTTGTGTGGCAGTATCGTATCATTACACCGACGCCAAGTATAGTAGTAAATCATTAATATAACAAAAACAAATTAAAGTTTTGGTAGCCTACTAGAATGATATAGTCAGTTGCTTTTTCAGTTTGCTAGATACATTTTGCTGCAATAAAAATGAAGTGACATGAACAGACTAATTTCTATATTTTATTTGATAAAACTGTTGATGTTGACAAAGTTTTCCTTTGGGAACATAATTTACCATTGAAAAAAGGTAATAAATTGTAGTACATTGCAATAGATTTTAACGCAATACTCAGCATATCGCATCATGTTTAAAATCACAATAATATTGTATTGTGATTAAAGTATCGTGATAATATCGTATCATGGGGCCTCTGGTGATTCCAACCCCTAGTACTTTGATCATCATGTTTTAGAAGAAGAATATAAGTGTTGTGCATAAAATCTTAATCTGCAAAGTAACTAATAATAATAGCTGTTGTGCAGCAAAAAGTACAATGTTTCTGTCGGAAATATAGTGGCAGGAAGAATAAAGTAACATAAAACGGGAAAGTAAGCAACAGGCAGCAGGAATCTTTTTACTTAAAGAAGTATTTCACAGCTGAAAAGATGGTTGTTTCATAAAACTATGCTGTTAATGCAGTAGAAAGACCCAAATTATTTTGATATTGCTGCTAAATGACCAGAAAAACACAGGAAAATGGCTGTGATGAGACAGAGGGAAGTTTACCATAGTTAATTTACACATACTGCCCACAGTTATGATACAAAGCTGGTTGAAAATCAGTCCCTTTAAAACAGTATTTGAGTACATGTAATTCATTACTTCCCACCATTAACTGACATGATGTGATTTCCCAGGATTTGTCTGAGGAGACGTCACTCTTTAAGAAGAAGGTCCAGTGGGCAGATGGCTACGTCCTCGTCTACAGCATCTGCGACAGGGCCAGTTTCAATGCCGTCAGCAGGCTCATTCAGACTATCAAGTCCACTAAAGACTACCTGAACACAGACAAAGCGCCCATAGTGATTGTGGGCAACAAGAGGGACCTGCACCACAGGCGGACAGTGCTGAGCGAGGAGGGCCGGCTGCTGGCTCTCAACACGGACTGCCACTTCTATGAGGTGTCGGCTGCCGAGAACTACCACAGCGTGCTCGTGGTGTTTCACGGGCTGGTGGACAGGTTGAAGGATGCCAAGGTGACAACAAAGAGGCCTCTGGGGTTCAGGGGCATAGTGAAAAGCATGTCTGCGGTGTTTGCCCGGAGACGGACAGACTCCTTGTAGTAAGACTGTGTCAGAAGAGGGGGACGTTTCTATTACACATTATTGACTGGATGGATATCACAGTCTATCAGTGATATATCATCGTGCTGTGCTGGAGGTTATAATGAAGTCTCCTGGGGCAGAGATGGGAACTGTTTTCACCAAGAAGTGTGGAAAGACTCCACAGAAGAGACAAGCCATTAAGCTTCAGAAAACATGGAGACAAAATGTCACAGATGCTTTTTGGTGGCAGGTTTTGAGGTTAGCTGCCCTTCAAGCAACATGAGACTCTCTCTTATAGATACTTGACATGTAATATGTTCTTGTATGCAACAAGGTATGCAACATGTTTAAACTGTGGCTTCAGATTGGGAGAAACTCTATGCATAAATTAAATTTGCCTTTACTCAAAATGATGACCAAAGACTTAAAAAGCTCTTAAATTTACAAGTGAAACTTTTGTATCACTGGATAAAGTGACCAAAAAGTGTCCTGCTTAATTATGTGATTAATTCTTGAAAATAAAACATACATATTTATATTTATTCAAGTCTGAACACTGTAAAGTAAAATAACAAACTGTTTTCTATATTTATGAGCCCTCTCATGTTGAATTCATGAATTTTGCGTCACTTACTGAAATGTCTTGTTTGTCTAAACCTTGTTTTATGACTTCCAAGGATTGAAATAAAGCAGAAAATGTGATTTTCTCTTGTGTTGATTTTAAAATTAAATATTTGCTTTCCATTGACACATTCAATGGCTTGCTCAAGGGCACTTAAGCAGGTTAGTGCTAAGTGGATGAAGGATGGTCTCTTTACCGATTTCATCATCCCAAAACTTTGTCACACAACTCTACAGCCAATCAGTTTCTGCATCAACACGACCTCAAGAGATGATTTGGGATTTTTGCAGTTGCAGTTTGCTTGATTACACATTCATCACACATTGATTAGTCATATCTCAAAGTAATGACTTCATGTCATGGGACCTGGCAGTCTCACAGAAATACATGAAATGGATATGACCTCTTAACAACACATTATATTGGCATGAAATTTGCTAAATGATGTGCTGTCACCATGAAAACCATGCCAATGCAAAGTCTATTATTAATAACTGCAGTCTGATGTGAAACAATTGCAGTTTGGTTGAGTTTAGGGAAAGAAAAACACTTGGGTCCACATAGTGTGAATTTCTGCACACTATTGTCAGTTTCCAATTGTTCCCAATGAGGAAAGGCATATGTTGCTGCAAGTGCCACAGTCAGTGTCTTTTTTAAAGGTTTTTTTTTTAGTTCAAATCTTTCATTTCAGAAAGGTGCTAGTGGCATTGCTGCCACTTTTTAGCTAGGCTACTGTGCCTACCATTGCAACAAAGTCAGGTAAGCCCATGTGTGGGAGCAGATCAGGCTGGTGGGTACTAAATGTTGGTGAGTGCTGTGCTTTTGTCACTGTAGGTCTTGTAAGCTTGTTGTGAACTGTGTATTCACCCTTCTGTTAATGTAGCATTACATTAGGTACCCAGCTGACATTAGTGTCAAGATATTGTGGTCAAAGAAACAAAACCAATGTGAATCACATCATTTATAAAGAAGCATTGGTGGTGCTTTTTTATGAAGCGCTGGAATGGGGCGTGTCGTGGCCGTTTCAACATAACCACAGTTCCTCGGCCACTTAGTTTGTGAGGTGTCTCAGTTTTGACTTGTGTTTCTGTTCCTTTTCTGGAAATCCAAAATACTCACACGAGGCAGGGAAAAAGTTTAACAAAGTTTATTGAGAATCCAAAAGAGTCCTTCCAAAATTACATCTTGTATGGTCCTCTACCATATTCTCATTTTATTCCCGTTACTACACTTAAACACTGCATAACACCGTCAACAACTTATTACAGTCCAAATCAACGGTGTCTTTTACGCACCTCGTTGTTCACAGTCTCCTTTTGTCATGTACATTAAACTGCCTCATGGCACCACACCTGGCGTGAATAACTTGTGCCTGTATTGTAAAAGATAAATAAAATATAAAGTTAACTTCAGTGTAGTCCACTACCATACACTATTCAAAATATACAGAAACTGTTGTGTAAACTTAAAAATCATCAGAGCCTATATGGCTTGTACGAGGCGCTCCCCAGGACTCTGCTATCTCTTTTCTGATGAAGAAAAATGATATGTGGACATGCACCCTTTGAGGTTAAGGTAAAGAGAATGAAAAAGTTTAGACAGAGTTTAGAAGAAGATTTAGGTTTCAGTAAGCCTAAAAATGACTACGTATGGGACGCCAGTGACGTAAACTCAGACACTTTGCATAATTACAAAAAGCACTCAAGAAAAGTACTTTGCAAAGTTATGTAAAGTCCTTAAAGTCACTTAGCTACGTTAACTTTTGGTTTCACACAGGTCATGAACAGCAGTCTACTGGGTGAAAGTCCATGTTTGTTTGACCCATCCACCCTGTGTGGACTTTCTTGGTCTTTATGCTAATTTGTGCATCCAACACGTCAAAGGAACCTCACTGACTTTGCATTGGCAGTGTTTTTATGCTGCTATAATGTAATTTTATCTCATTTCCTAAGACTTTTTGTCCATTTTTCGAACTTCTATGAGACAGGGCTGTATGTTTGGAGAGGCATGCCAAGAGTTGCATCCTCATTTCTGCGAGTATGTGGAATATTTCTCTGATGGACACAGGGAGGAAATGATCCTGTCCAGGTTTGTTAATCAGAAAGCCTCTGCTGTGTCTGTCCTCATTATACACTTAGAAACTACAGCTATTCATATATTTGATACAGCTTCACATTTGTGGATGTTGAGTCTAAGATCAGAGACCATGTTGAAAACAATTAAGTAAATGCTTTTATCACAGAAAAAATGCTGGTTCGACAGCTGTTACACATTTCTTAAAGTCTGTTGGGTGCAAGTAATTGTAACAGGGTATTTTTTCAGTTCTAAGAAAGATAATGAATATATTTGTTATAGTATTCAGTATACTTAAAATGTAATACATGGGATTGTCCACAAATTTATATACACTGTGAAACATCCAAATACTTGAATAAATCCTCACACTTCTCCTCCAGTCTTCCTCACATCTTAAATCATGCCAAGACTTTAGACCCATCCTCTTTCGAAGGTCTGTGAATTCCTCTCCGAAACTAGGAGACCATTCCCGCCATGAAGAATTCCTCTAATTTGTGTCTGGCCTGCTCCAGTAAACTTGCTCTGACCCCCAACATTAGGCGGCAGACACTCCTATTCTTCTTTTCCTCCCTCAGACCTCTGTCGTTTGGTGTCAGGAAGATGTCCGTCTGAGTGGCTATTAACGCTGCAGCATGGGAGGGCAAATGGCAGGTAAGCTGGTGCCAGCTCCCCCCTCTTTTCTATTCTTGTGTGGGAGAAATCTGACAGGAACAAGGCACGGGTTAACAAAGGAAGGCTGGTGCAGTCTGGCCCCTGCAGGTCCTTGTCAGAGGCGCTGGTCACTTCACAGCACGACCCAGAACAGACAGCAACCTGTCAGACACATTTAAGAGCTGCCTTCATGTGTCTCCATGTGCTGCTACAACATTTACCGAGAAGGAACAAGATTTCTTTAGAAAAAAATAAAAGAGAAGACATTCACAAGCCACATCTCTCAGTCTGAAGAGAATTTGGTCACATACACGCAGGAAATGGGATGTGTTAACACTTTTCATGCTGCTGAATGAGGACACTGCATTTGGAATAACTCTAATGATGCATTACAATATTACATTAGCATCTTAATTAGACTCTTAATTCACAACCCTTGAAATGAAACACGCTTTTACAACAGCATGGCGTGTCACAGGAGATACTTTTGTGACACGTGGCGCACGAGCACTGAATACGAGACACTTTTAAGGTCAGGTGGCCACTACAATGCATTTAATTATCATTTAGCATTATGATCTAAAACATGCAGGCCCAAAGTAACAGAACATAACTGTGGAAATAAACAGTGGCAGATATACTTTTGTCCAATATATAAGGCTTCCTGCTCGAGATGAGATTCCGTATACTGTGACCTATATGATATGAGGTCATCTGCTCCCTCTGATCAGTGCAAAACTCATTTACTGAAGGACCCTTTCAGTCAGCGACTTCCTTTAAGTGCTGATGCTTGAAGATCTCCAACTGAAAGCTCATTTTAAAACAGACTTTTTTTAAACTAGAGAGGTGGGTTTGTCTGTCCAGGGGATCAATACATTAAGTCAGAATGATTCATACTTGTGTATCTGTCACTGCAAAAACAAATTAAAGTGCAGGTCTTGAAGATTTTTCTCAATATATAGTAACACAGAGTGATGATCAGACAGCATACACATGTAACGAGTGGAAATGGAAAGTGACCCATGCTAAACTGATGCTAGAGTGGTATGTAGAGTGTCATAGTTCGAGGCATGGGGCCACTGACCAAGCTGGTGCATTTGATGAGTTGGGGGTCTAAATGTGTCCACAACACGTAACAGTTATATAGGAAATGGTTGCTGCACCTCCACCTTCCAGGTTTGGTGATCACGTCTGGAGACCGAGCTGTGGTTCATCCAGTTCAAGTTTGAGGAGGTGTCTGTTCTGAGACTGATACTGAGCCGGTGTTTGAATACTTGGGGCCTGTCTGCTTTTTTTAAATGAAATTACCATGAATCACTGAATCCTAAATACAATTTCCACCCACAAGCATCCAGCTGGATGTGTTTGTTGACAACACCTTTTTTGGTAAATTGAATCCCAGGAGTGTGGCACTTCCTGAGATGACAGTCTCTGTGCATCCGGCACTGTAACACACTGATTGATTTTAATGTAAGATTTTTCAATTTTTCTGAGCTGATCATCTTCAAAAGGAAGCTGCTGATTTGTTGTGGAGCTCTGTTGTGTACAGCTCTGCCTGTATGTTGTTAGTGTCTCTGTCGCTGTGGCTTCAGAGCAACAAAACCTACATAAGAAGTACACCGTGCTGTACAGTCTTCATATGTTTGTCTGTTTGCTGATTAGATGTCCATCTGTGACTTTGGAGAAATCTTACATGTGAAATTAAAGGAAAAATAAAACAAAATTCATCCATTTTTGGGGAGAAACTACAAACACAAATGCAATCCAACACATGCTTTAGTTTCTTATAGCTCTGGGTCGTGTTTTAGATCTTCACTGAACGCTGTTTCCTGCCTGACAGGCAGCACGTTTTCAAGAGACATAACTGATCAATGCAGTAAAACAGCCTCCTTTTCTTTTCCCTTATTAAATACAAGCAGGCCTGATTTAATTACTGGGTAAGGAAGTTAAAAAGGATATATCGGCCAGAAGGTCAGCGAGTTCAGAGACCTGGTAAACAAAGAAATAAAACAGAGGAAGAAGGTGAGACGTATGAAAATCTAACCCTCGGGCTGCACATGGAGAATTTAAAGTAAAATGAAATGAATAAAATCTAAAGTACTGTGCTGAACACAAAAATGATTATCTTTGTTTTGGCCTTAAAAGAACTTAATAATTTTCCAACAAATTAATAATCAATTGATCTTGACCTGCTCTGTTCTACAAAGGCAAGAAAGAGGAAAAAAAGGGTTTAGATTGGCTAAAAACAATTTTATTTGGGTCATTCTTAGTGTATGGGGATTAAATGTTTAAATATGTCTGCCTTGCTACAAGTCTTTTTGTTTATCTATTATTTGTACAACTAATATCTTAT